CACCCCCACCCCACCCCCACCCCAGGAGTGGGATCCAGGGGCAGCAGTCCCTGCCATGTGGTCAGAGCTCTGTGGTTGGTGGATCTCTACAGAGAATTTCCTAGTGCAGATGCCCCTGAGTTGAGGATGGCATCTCCATGGCACCCAGGCCACTGCACCGCACCCTGGTGATAGTGGCCCTCTGTGAGCATGGCACCGGTTACCATGATTCTGGCTCCCCAGCTTGCTAGCTGAGGGTGCTGGGCCCCTTGGGCCCACCCGTCTACCCACCTGCCCAGGCTGAAGGAACAGCAAGGTAGCCCCCACTTCCTCAGGTCCCACCTCACCCCCACTCCCCTGGCCTCACGGCCCTCCTGTCTCATTCTGACTGCACAGGGCCTGAGTGCCCCTCGAGCACCCCTTCCCTGCCCCATCAGCTAGTGCCAGCCCAGGTAGGGGTCTTGGGCACTGCCGTCTGCTTGTTCCCCAGCTGGATGCCGTGGGCAACCCACAACCCCAAATCCACCAGGCAAGAACTCTCCACCAGGTTTTCCCTTGGGGAAACTGAGGCCTAGAGAAGCAGGAACCTTGCGCAGATACCAGAATATGACTCTGGTCACCCACTGCTGTGTCCCCCACATATCAGGGAGTTGCTGAGGACCAGGCCGCAGACCCCTACATGGTGGCTGAGGCCACAGGATGGAGGCAGTGGCCAGGCTCTGGGGCTGGGGCAGGATGCTAGGCTGAGCTCCCAGCGGCATCTCATCAGCCTTGTAGCTTAGGGAATTGCATGCTAAGGGGACCTTTGGACACAGCCCCCTTGGTTCAGGAGGGCACAGAGGGCCCAGCCAGCCTCCGGTCCTTCCTCATCCTTCAAGGCACAGGAGGGAGCTGAGGTGCAGTGACCTATGGGGACTTTCCTGGCTGTGGGGTCCCTACTCTGAGATTTTAGAGAACTCTCCAAGGGCACAGTCCTAGGTCCCAGAAACAGGCACAATTCCAGAGCCAGATGCAAGGAATACGCCCCTCCCCAGGGCGCAGCCCTGCCTGCTGCTGTGCTGGCTCCACTGGGCCACTTGACCTGGGGTGAAGGGCGGGAGGAGAAGGACGCTCGGCCCTTCTCCCCTCCTCCCCTGGGCCCACCCTGGCCCCCAGACACTCCCCTGGGGCCACTCCCCTGCCGGGGCCTGAGTGACCCACAAGCCTTGATCCCCTAGGATCCCCCCCCAGCACGCACAGCCTCCAGGGCCTGGCTTCTCTCTGGGGGAGGCAGCCCAGCAGGGTCTACTGTAGTTTCTTCAGGCCTCGTGTCTACACAGCCTCCTCTGCTAGCTCCGGGGTGGGATCTGGAGAAGGGTGCTCAGGCCCCTTCCCCTCCCATCCTGTCTCGGCAGCCTCCAGGACTGCCGCAACCTCTTGCCACTCGAGGTCAGGTGGTCGTGTATGTACCCCAGCACCAGGTGACGGGTCTGGACAGGGTGCTGTGGGGTGTGGGGCGGGCTAGCCTCCAACACCTGCCCCCGAGCTGTCCCACTCCTTGGCTCTGCAGAGGCGAGGGTCTGTGAAACTCATGCTGAGCAGTGCAGGTCCCAGTGTCAGCAGGAACCCCCTTCCGCTGGGGCAGAGTCATCTCAGAACCATCGTCTGTGGAGCCGAGGCTCTACCCCTAACCCTAACCCAGGACCTCGGGGGCCAAGATGGGGCTGTTACCATGGGCAGGACCCTTGGCCCTCCCTGAGGCCAGCACTGTTGGCCATGTGGGTGGCTCTGGGGCTGGAACAAAGGGGGAAAGGCTGCCCTACAATAAGGCCTGTCTGGGGGACATGATCCCCGAAACCCAGTCCTGTCCTCGTCAAGACTGAGAGCTTCCTGGGTTGCTTCCTCCCCCCTCTGCCAGCGCCCCCCACTGCCAGGAGACTGTGGCCAGGCTCCGAGCTGCCCCCCGACTCTGCCCGCATCCACACGCTGGGGTCTTCCTCACACCTGGTCTTGTGGCTCTGACGATTCTGTTGGGCTAGTCCGCCATCACCCCTCATCTTTTAATGTCTTTGGTCAATTTTGCTGATTTAACATCTAAAGGTGTCCTTCAGAACTATTCAGGTTCTGGAAAGCATCCCCCCTATGGGAGAACCCTGCACTTTGGTCGTCAGGAAACAGGTTACGGGCCAGGCCAAGGCTGTCCGTGCCCACAGGTGGCGAGGCTCCGCGGGCCCCGCTTCTCCCCACCGTGCACTGTCAGCCTTTCCTGGCCTCCTCACCCCGAGCCCGAGGACAGCTTGGCTTCCCAGAACTGAGTGCTGGGCCTTAGACTTCTGTCCCCAAAACTGACCTCTGTAGCCGTCAGAGCCTTGCTAAGTTTCTTTTCCACTGTGCACTGTCAGCCTTTCCTGGCCTCCTCACCCCGAGCCCGAGGACAGCTTGGCTTCCCAGAACTGAGTGCTGGGCCTTAGACTTCTGTCCCCAAAACTGACCTCTGTAGCCGTCAGAGCCTTGCTAAGTTTCTTTTCTCTAGTGCAGCTCCAGAAACGAAACCTTGGCTGGCTCTAGTAAAGGGAAGTGACTCCTGGCGGTGCCTGTGAGCCCGCCCGCCCTCCTGGGCACCACACAGACCCCAACCGGCCCAGGAGCCCCTGTGCCAGAGCAAAGCAGCATGAGGACAAAACACGAAGCCACCGGGACAGTGGAGCGGCTCGTGTGGCTGCTCATGCCTGGCCATGCAGGGCTGCCCGGCGGGGAGAGGCTGGCGGCTCCCTAGGCCGGCAGTGGAGGCCTGGACAGGCAGGGGCTGATCACTTGCCCATTGACCCACAGTCACCGGCACCATGGCTGGGAAGGCTGACGTCCACCTGGCCACAGAGTATGTTGACGCCAGCACCACTGGGGG